GGCAGAGAACTTAATACCTGAGAGATGCTGGGTTGCCTTCTGGCTGGAGTTGTCTTAAGTGCTCCCCAGCCTATTCTACAGTTTTAGGGAGAGAAAGACCCAAGGTGAACTGAGAACTGGTAAAGCTCTTACCCTGGGTCCTTACTGTCTTACTGTGACAGTGCTTTGGTCCCTCATTCATCTCTCCTCTCTTTAGAAACCAGAAGCAGATTTCTCCTAAAGAACATCTTGTTCCCACGTGGCATTGGCTTGTTCTACCCACTTCCTAGTTTCTCTCTCATGTTCTATTGAACAGGAGGTTTGTACAATGGTTACATAATTAGGGATAAAAGAGAGGATGGGGACAAAGCAAAAGTATAATCCATTATACTTTTGATTAAAAATTTTAAATGTTTATTTGTGTGCTTGTGTGTTTCTGTGTATGTGTGTGCATGCACATGTGGAAGCATGCATGATGCATGTATGTAGAAGACAGCATGTAGGATTTGGTTCTCTGTGACTATTGTGTGGGTCCTATAGGTCAAACTCAGGTCATCAGGCTCAACAGGAAGTGCCTTTATCCCACTAAGCAGTCTTGACACTCCTACTTTCAGTTTTTAGAATGAAAACACATTTATTGTTTTTCTGATATTGAAATAGTATTTGCTAATTTGTCAAAAACAAAAGAAGCAAAGAAAAATGTAGATAGAATTCAACCATCCCAAAGAAATAACCATTAGCATTTCAGAGTACATTTTACACATTAAAACACGTATACTCAAATGTTAAATGTAGTTTTGTTCCATGGATTAGCACTTTAAAATGTTTGATGAAATTGGGCAGTGATGGCACATGCTTTTAATCCCATCACTTGAGGTAGAAAGAGGCAGGTGAATCTGTGTGTTTGAGGTCAGCCTGATCTACAGAGTGAGTTTCAGGACAGCCAGTGCTACACAGAGAAATCCTGCCTTGGAAAACAAAAGAAAAAGCAAAACAACCCCCCTACACAAACAAAAACAAAACAACCCAAAAAATAAAAATAAAACAAAATAACTCCCCCAAACTCCTAAAACTTTGATGAGTATGGCAGTCAGAATAGAGCAGGTTATGATTGAGAGCAAACAATCCCATATATGAATGAATGTCTTAAGTAACACGTATTTCATTCTTGCTTATATGTTCTTGTGGGCTGGCAGTAGAACAGGTATGTACATGTGGTATTCTGTGAACTTGGGAGAACCCTGTCCACTGCTAAAATGACTAATTACTGCACCAGAGGGAGCAGGCAGCTCTGAAAGATTAGGTATCTGTAATTAGTGCTTGGCTCAGAAGTGGTAAATGTTACTTACACCCATAACATATTGGCCAGAACTTGTCCTGAGGCCCCATCTGTCCACAGCGGGTGATCTTTCTGACAGAGAGCAACTAGAAACATACATAATGAGCAATGTTGAAGTCAAGCAATATATCTGCTAGTCAATAAATACAGTTTTACTTTGTTACTCTCAATATTTATTTATCAATATGTGTGGGTTGTATATGTGTGTAGGGAAGGGTATGTGTGCATGCTTATGGTGAGGTTTGTGTGTGAGGGCAGTATATGTGCATGTTTATGTGTGGGTGTATGTGTTCTTGTGTGCATATGGAGGTCAGATGTCAACCTAGCATGGCATTTTTTCAGAAGATTCCATTTGTCTTGGAGTTTTGGATAGGGTCTCTCACTGGGACCTGGAATTCTTTAATTAATTAATTGATTTTACCACTTTTTTCTTTTTTAAAATTTAAATTAGAAACAATCTTGTTTTACATGTCAATCCCAGTTCCCTCACCCTCTCCTCCTCCCTTGTCACCTCCCAACTCCCATCCCCTTTCTGCTCCCCAGGGAGGGTGAGGCCTTCTATTGGGGATCTTACAAGTCTTCATATCATTTGGAGCAGGACCTACGCCCTCCCCCATGTGTCTAGGCTGAGAGAGTATCCTACTATGTGTAATGGGCTCCCTAAGTCCATTCATATATTAGGGATAAATACAGAGGCTCCATAGACTGCCCAGGCCTCTTAACTGACACCCACATTCAGGGGGCCTGAGTTAGGGACCTGGAATTCTTAAGACTATTCTGGCTAGCCAGTGAGCCCTGGAATCCTCCCATCTCTGTCTCCTCATGGCCAGTGAGCCCTGGGAACCTCCTGTCCCAGTGAGTCCCAGATTCCCCTGTCTGGGTTTCCCCAGTATCAGGATTACAAGGTAGCCACCACACCTGGGTTCTTATGTAGGTTCTGGGGTCAGGCTCAGGTCGTTGGGCTTGTGTGGCAGCACTGTGCCAACAGCCATCTCTCTGGTCCCCAGGTTATCATGGAGTGTTTAGCTGAACTACTTTTAGTGGCTATTTTAAGTCAGTGGTTCTCAACTTTCTTAATTCTGTGACCCTTTAACACATGCTGTGTATTAAACACCTCATGTTGTGGTGACAAACCACAAAATTATTTTCATTGCCACCTCATAACTGTAGTTTTGCTACTGTTATGAATTATAATGTAAATATCTCATATTTCTGATATTCTTAGGTGACTCCTGTGAAAAGGTCACTTGAACCCCCAAAGGGTCACAGCCCACAGACTGAGAACCAGTGATTTAAGCTCTCTTCAGCTATGAACGTGTTTTAAAGGTTATACATTCTGTTTTTCTAGATATTCCACTCTTTATTTACTTCTCTGCAGCAGAATTTTTGACTGAAGGACATACACACAGGTCAGAATATAAATGTATACTCACTTTAGAAAAGTTTTATAGTTTCTATTTTGTTTTACAGTTTCTTAAAAGTAAAATTTACTGCATAAGATATGAATCCCACTCATAGGAAAATAAAATGTATCTCTATATCCTCAGGAAAGATTGCTGGTGTGTGAAAATTAAATTTTAATTCAAATTATGAATCATTCATACCAGGCAAAGGGAAATAATAACTTGAATGTCTGTCAGGTGATGAACAGATAAACAAAATGTAGTATACCTACACAGTGGAATATTATTCAGCTATGAGGAATAAAGTAGTGTTTGCTACACTGTAGATGAGCCTCAAGACCACTATTCAAAATACAAGATACAAAAATATACATGGTGTGTAATTCCACTTATATACACTGATCAGAACAGGGGAAACCATATAATATAGTTCAGTGATTGCCAAGGGCTGGAGATGAGATCGTGAGGTGATGACCAGAATGTGCAAAGTGTGTGTGTGTATGAGTGTCTCTCTCTGTGTGTATGTGTGTGTCTCTCTCTATGTATGTATGTATGTCTGTGTGTCCCCATGTGTATGTCTGTGTATCTGTGTGTCTGTATATGTGTGCCTCTGTGTACAGGTGTCTGTGCATGTGTGTATGTGTCTATCTCTCTGTGTGTGTCTCTGTGTGTGTGTAGGTCTCTGTGTGTGTGTGTATAGGTGTCTCTGTGTGTATGTATATCTGTGTCTATGCATCTCTCTGTGTATTTGTGTCTGTGTGTTTATGTGTCTCTCTCTGTATGTGTGTAGGTGTCTCTGTGTGCATATATATCTCTGTGTGTATGTCTCTCAGTGTGTGTGTGTGTGTGATGTGTCTGTGTGTGGACTTCCTCATGTATGTGGGAGGATTGCCCACATCAGGTTCCCTTCCACATCACTCTTTCCCTTATTTCCTGAGAGAGAGTCTCTCATGAATTTGGAGGTCACTGTTTCTACTGGCTGGTTAGCCAGCAAGCTCCAGGATCCTCTTGTGACCTCCACTTCCTGGCAGTCCTGGGGTACTGTGTGCCTTGCAGTCCTGGGGTACTGTGTATGTACCTGGCTTTCTATGTGGGTCCTTGGAATTGAACTCAAGGTCTTATGCCTGCACACAATCACTTTACACACTACATTTCCCCAGGCTCCAGAGTTTCTTTTCAGAAAGTTAGTAAAAACTGCTCTGGTTATGGCGATGGCTCCCATTCCTTACAGAGAAGGATGCTTGTGCACAAAATGAATGAATTTCATGGTATAAAAATTACACCTCAAAATGCTATTTAAGCATGTGTAAAGCTGAGCTGGAGAGATGGCTCAGAGGTTAAGCATGCTTCCTGCTCTCACAGAGGAGCAGAGCTCTGCTCTCTGACTCTAGAGGAACTCAAAGCCTCTCGCCGTGTATAGCACTATACACAGAACACAGGCACATAATAAAAGGCAAAATAGATTTTTAAATGGACACACTTTTCAAGTATCTTCAAGTATACTTTCCAAAAGACAATTTGCTACTCCTAGCAATAACCATTATGTTTCTATTATTTAAACAGGTTTACTGGGTGCGATACTAAAGGAGAAGCAAGCATTTTTAAGTGACTGGCTTATTGTTACTGTAACTTTAATCTATATTTATTTATTTATTTTTTGTGTTTATGGGTGTTTTGCCTTCCTGTAAGTGTATACTATTTGTGTTCCTGGTGTTTGCTGTGGCCAGAGAGAGGCCAAGAACTGTCGTTAGAAATTGTTGCGAGTCACCATGTGGGTGCTGGGAATTGAACTTGGGTCCTGCTGAGATATCTCTTAAGCCCATGTCATTGTTTTTTAGTGGAATTTTTTTTATTGCTTTTTCTGTACCTATCTCTTACCTATGAGAAAATAGAAGAAATCTTATAGAAAAGAAATCTTTAAGGCAATTCAGGATAACTTCAGTGTTGCATCTGGATTTCCTAGAGTTTTGCATTGATTATGAACACATCAAAAGAAGGCCAAATGTCTGTATTACAATGATGTAATGGACCCAATAGCAAGGAATTTAATGTCAAGCCAAAGACTGAGTGAAGCAGAATGCAAGCATTCCGTGGGTATCTCTGTTCTTGTCACTGTTGCAGATGTAGGCACACCCAGACGGTGAGGAAGTTTGGCCTCCTGGATTCTGCTTTTCAAGCTAGATATCCTTAGTGGTGAATTTGAATGGATTTTAAGAGTTTTGCATGACTCATTCATGAATACCTCCCAGTCCTATTTCATATTTCTTCTCTCTTTCCAGGTCGCACTCAGGGTGCCCAGACAACTCAGGCTGTTGCAAAGGCTGGTATGTATATCCACAGATTCAATTTCTTCATCATTCTGCTTTCTTTGAACCAGAATCTAGATGCCTGTTCTCCAAAGCTCCTGGTCCTCCTTAGAGAAGAAGTATAGTACAAAACAGTATAGCTGATTCCTTTAGAAGTTTTCTCAAAGGGGATATTTCTTTCTTAAAGGAGGGACTAGAGTGATGGTTCAATGGATAAAGTGCTTGTTACATAAGCATGGAGACCTGAGTTCAAATCCCCAGCACCCATGCAAACAGCTTAATGCAGGCCTGTTACATTGGTGCTGTGCGAGGTTGAGACAGAAGGTTCATCAGAGCTTAGGGGCTTTCAGTCTACCTCCAGCTCAGTGAGAAATAGACACTGCTTCAACGAAGCCTATGAATACATTCCCTGACTATGAACAAATTTTGACATCTAAAAATAGACTATTGGTCATCTGGAATAGCTAATCTCTGAAATGTTTCATTTTAGCTCTGCCCTTCTTCCTTCTATTAATTTTAATCCCCCTAATTGTGAACTCATCAGGGATCCTCACGCTACTGGTGACATCTGTCTTTAGAATGGGAAGATTCCCTCAGAAACACACCATTGTTTTACTGATTTTTGTTTGTTTCTTTTTGGCGTAGTTGCTGTGTAAATGTTCTGGGTTCCTATGTTTGTTCTTTCTTTTTTTTTATTATTTTATTTTTTTAAATTTTTTAATTTTTATTTTACATATCGATCCCAGTTCCCTCTCTTTCCCTCCCTTCCTCCTTCCCTCTTTTCCTCTTTCCCTCTCTTCCCCCCTCACATGCACCCTGACCACCCTCCCCTCCCACCCCCATCCCCCCACTCCACATGTAGGGTGATGCCATCCAGGGGGGGTCATCTAAATCTGTCAAGTCATTTGAAGTAGGGACTAGGACTTCTCTCCTGTCTCTAGGTTAAGGCAGTATGAATCCATGGGGGATGTGCCTGCAAGGTCCTTTTGTGCACCAGGAATACATCCTGGTTCCATTGTCTGAGGTCCCTTAGGCTGCCCAGGCCTTCTAGCTTGGGGTAGGGGGGTCTGAGTCAGTCCCATGCTGGATTCCCTGCTATCAGTCTGGGGGCCTGTTAGCTCCTCCTTCTTCAGGTCAGCTGTCTCTATGTGTTTCTGCAACCTGGTCTTGTCCTCTCCATCTGCATCTGGATTCTAGTTCAGCTCAGTGTTTAGTTGTGGGTGTTTGCTTCTGTTTCCAACAGGTACTAGATGAGGGCTCCATGATGGTGGATAAGTTAGTTGTTGGTCTCATTATCAGGGAAGGGCATTTATGGTAGCCTTTCCACGGTTGCTCAAATTGTTAGTTGGAGTCAGTTTTGTAGGTCTCTGGACATTTTTTTAGGTTCAGTTTTCTCTTCAATCCTATAATGGCTCCCTCTTTTATGTTCTCTCTCTCTCTCTCTCTCTCTCTCTCCCTCTCTTTTCTGTCTTCTATTCCTCCCATGACTCAATCTTCCTAGTCCCACGTGCTTTCCTCTCCTCCCCTTCTCTTTCTCCCAGTTCCCTCTCCACTCACTGCCCCCTCCCCTCCATGTGCTCTGGAGAACTTGTCCCTTCCCCTTGTTCTTTTATAGCCTCTAAATTTTGTTATTGATTAAAAAGGCTATTTTTTTGAGAAGGGGTCTTATGTATCCCCACCTGTCCTCAAACTCTCTCTGCAGGCAAGACTGTCCATTGAATCCTGATTCTCCAGCATCTACTTCCCAAATGCACAGAGGATTGCTGGCATGTCCGGAAGTTACAAAATTTTCATGACTCTGTCATCTGCACAGTTCATACGATCTCTTCCATTTCTTAGAAACCTCTTAAAACTTCCAAGTCTTATTTTCTCATGCAGTACATATTTTGAAGACGAGCTCTATCCATGAAGGGTCTTTCTAGGAGTAATAAATATGCCATGTCCTCAACACTTCTGTGCCACCAAGAGGGAAAAACTCAAAATGTAGCTTCTGTAGTTATTTATGTGAGATTTCGTGATCTAGCTTCTTCTGCCTGTGCCTGGAGTCTCTAGCTACCTCTCACCAACTGTGGTTCTCAGTACGTTCCAAATTATAATTAATGAACAGAAAGTAGACAGCTCAGAATGGTCCAGGTTTTAACTAATGAATAGAAACTGAGCAGCCACAGCTAGGATTCTCCCACCATTGTCAGGACCACAGAGATATGCCTGGTTATGTTTAGAACTAATTAGATTCTGCTTTTTATAGAAGTCCTTGGATGGAGACACACACACACACACACACACACACACACACACACACACACACACACACACACTGTGTTTTGAACATCAGGAGGCTCATTAGATCAGAGCTTCCACGATGCTTAAAAGACTGATTAGCTTTCTTAAGACAATTTACTGCTGTCATTTACCCTCTGATATCAGGGGTCCTTCTTGGGAGCCCTTTGGTAGGAAGTATTCCCTAGTTTGTGCCAGGAATTATTTTATTCCAATGTGGTATGATACACAAACACTGAAATGATTGACATGAAGGAAGAACTTTACACTCACATGTCTCTGATAAGAGGAGTGTGCTCTGCATACAAAACCACACACAGAAGAACCAGGGCTGGTCAGGAAGCAGTGGGTGGGGTGGATGGTGAAGCACAGCCCAGTGTCTATTAGGATTTTCATGGGAAGGGATGAGTGAGTGGGGTACGGGGGTTGGAGTGGAGGGTTGGGGGGAATGTGCCCAGTAAGTATAGGATTGGATACTGTCATTTTGGCAGGCTCTCGGCTGTAACAGCTGTTCCTCATTGCCCAGTACCTGGATTTGGGGCCAAAAAAAAAAGTTTACTATGTGAGTGTTTGATAGAGGAAGCAGTCAGGAGTGGGGATAATAAAAACCTAGAAAATGAGGTTTTCGTATTAAAGGTTTACTAGCAGGGCAGGATGAGGGAAAGATTCTCTCCAGGAAGGCAGCTTGGAGTGCCAGAACAGCAGGTTATGTCATTTGCAGGAAATGGATACAAGTGGAGAGAATCATACTGAGTGAACTAAGTCTCAGAAAGACAGGTATTGCGTTTTCATTTGCTTGTGAGTTCTAGGCCTTATAGATCCATAAAATCACTTGTGTATAGATGACAAAAGTAGAAGTGAGACTATTTAGAGGAATGAAGGGGACTGATGGGAGCTGGGTAAAGGAGAGGGTTGTGGGCCCAGAGGGGAATATGCTCAAAGTGCATTTTACTTGCATGAAAATGGCCTCAGGTAACGCTGTATAAATTATAGTCAGGACAGCTGGTGGCTTGGTGCTGACCATCAGTCTCTCGTGGATGCTACATACACCTGTGTCTGTCTCCCTATTCCCATCTCTAACCATCAGAGTGTTGTTTTCAGAAGATCACAGAATGGCTGTTTCCCTCTGGACAGGGATAATTACACTTCCTATCTCTAAATATCAGGAGGCATTGCTGGGGATACTGGATGAATGTGAACAGGTGAATCGGGGCTGGTGTCATTTTCTGTCTGCAAATGGGGGAGGGAGTGACCTCCCCCAGGTGGTGCATACAGCATCCAGGGAAACTTCAGCAGTGACAAGTACACACTTTCCTAAAAGAACAGAGGCCTTAAAGTTGAGTGAAGGTCAATGGACCTAGCATGGAGCCACCTGCTCTATCCTGATCTTCTCTTCTATAACAAGAAGGGAGCACGGAGCCTCAGTGTGTCCCTCCTAATGACTGTAAATAAATAGTGTAATGTTAGGACAGGGGCCTGCAGAGATAGCACAGTGCTTTCCTGGATTCAGCTTCCAGCACATACATGGCCACTCACAGCCCTCTGTAATTCCAGTTCCAGAGGATCCAGTGTCCCTTTCTGACCTCGGAGGGCACTAGACATTTGTGGGCAAATACACAAAATAAAAATAACTAAACCATCTTAAAGAAGAGAATGGTTAGTTGGGAACCAAGCACCAAAGAGTTAATAATCTTCTAGGAAGAGGGGACTGAACTGGGCTCTGGCAACTGGGCAGTGTCCCAAACATTCCACAGTGACATTTCCAGATGGTGACTTGGGTAATTCATGACATCCTCTGGGTGGCTTGATGTTAAATGACTCCCGTGAGTCATACCCAAACCTCTGTTCCCTCTGGCAGCTAATTAAGACACACCCTGCCTCAAACTGCTTTTCCATCTGGGTTGGTTTTGGAGGAAAGAAATAATGAAGAAATTATGTCACAGGAAGATTTCTTTTGCTTTGTATTTTCCAGTTGACATCTCCAAACAAAATAATTATTTATATATAAATATGGTGACCATGTTACATTTTAAAGAACTATATTGGGAAAATTTGAGACAACTCTTTTATAGACTCCTATTTATGACACATTTTCATACACTTCTGCTGTGCAGAGCTCTGTGCTTGCTTTCTGCTGGCAGGGCCTGACTAATTCGCCCACTTGTCACCTACATCTCTCCATGCCCCTTTTCCTAATTAATCTGGTGTAGTCACGACTCTTGGAATGGGCATGTTTTATTTCATGCCTTTTGTGCCCTTTTTCTTTTCTTCTTTTCCCTTACTGGTGGTCGAACCCAGGACTTCATGCATGTTAGGCAAACACTCTTATCATTGCACTACATTCCCAGTCTAGAATTTTGGAATCTACTTTTTAAAAACCTTCTTTTACACTTTGCAGACGTTGCTGAATTATCTTTCTCCTATAGTTTTATTCCATTTTCTGTTGGTTTGTGGGGCCTGAGTACTGAACCCAGGGCCCCATGCACATAAGCAGTTCTACTATTAAGCCTTGTAGGTAGAATTTTCCTGTCCTACAGCTACTCTCAAATAACCATAGGAAAGTCTTATTATTAATTATAAATGCTTGGTCAATAGCTCAGGCTTATTTCTGATTAGCTCTTACATTTTAAGTTAACCCAGCTTCCTCATTTTGCTCTGCCATGTGGTGGTACCTTTACTAGCATGGCATGTTCATCTCCTGCTCCCTCTGTGTCTGGTTGGCGACTTCTCACTCTGCC